ACACAGTAGTCCAGTTTTCTTCAACCTTTTTTATCGTGATGTACCTTTTACAATTTTTCAATAACTTTGTATACCTTACAAATACCAATGTCTATTTAAGGCCTAAATGAACATTAAATTTTAAACACATATTGTACTGCAATAGCATCATGCAATCTAATATGCTAGTGTCCGCAAGTTATAAGTTTGACTGACGGTCATAGCGTCAACGAGAATAATGTTCAGCGTAAGTCAAACGAAGTGCATGACAGACAATATCACCAACCCAGACATGTATGTGATCACATTATCTATATAATTTGTGCTGTAACAATGTGCTCACGTCAGTTCTTTGCGTGAATGACATTTTATATTTTATGTGTGCCGCGTTTGCATTGTTGTCTTCACTTGAATATTTTTTATAATTTATTATATTAGGGTTTAGATTCCCTGACTTAGGCTGTACACCCTTCGTATACCCTTTATCAGTTGTATACCCAATTTATAGTCCGGTATACACTTGGGTACACCCCGTACACCCCGTTGAAGAGCACTGCAGTAGTCTACCTAAGGGTGGTTCAAGGTTGCTAGGTTGAAGGACCGCAAAAATTTTTGTTGAGGTCGGAGAAAACCCAAAAGGGATCGAAATATCGTAAGTTTACTTACTTTAAATTTATTAAAAAAACGAGAGTTCGCCGTTCTAATCAGACCAATTATATGTTGCATAGATGACGTTTCTTTTAAAGAAGATATATAAAGCCTTCTGTTATTTTAAAATAAATTCCCGGGAATTACCGTTGTATTTTCCGCATCTCGCGTTTGGGTTTGTCATGGCGCTTCAAATTATATTCTTTCGCGCCAGATATTACTTGAAAGCAAACCAGACACTGTGGTTTACCGTTGTGGTGGGCAAGGAATTGCGTTTCCTCCTTGTCACCTTTCTTTTGACACTCATTTTATTACGAATTGTCATATTTGAGTAATTTGAAAACTTGCATCGTGAGCAGGCTTAGTGCCATCGTCAAATAACAACCAAGTCCGTTGTTAAGAGAGTATATATTTTCAGTTTTAGACACCTGGGACATGGCATCTTTTATCATGAAAAAAACTCTCGAAACAGCATTAAATGGTAAAATATTGGATTGTTTTTAAATATTTACAGACTTGTAATAAGTAAATAATTGGAAATGATAATTTCATGAATACAAAAAAGTTGATGTAAGTGATAAATTAGAAATACAAATAAAACTCTGCTAAATGCAACGTTAACGTGTAAGAATTTTGTAAACTATTATTCTTTAGTTCCAAATGATTCTCAATGTCAAACAACATGTCGACCAGGCAAGAAAGGCCCAGAAGGTTCAAAAGGTGATATCGGATCACCAGGACAAAATGGCGCCACGGGACGTCAGGGAGCTAAAGGAGAAGGTGGAACACCATGTAATTGCTCACGATATGATGAGTTGGCACACAAAGTTCAAATCCTCGAACAGAAAGGTTACTATTGCAAATTCATACCCTTATTATAAATTATTGCATTATTTTATTATAAAACCTAATGTCAATTAATTGTGTCGCAAGTGTTGCATATATGGCTTAAAATGAGAATTTGCAAATCGCTCTCTGGATCTAAACGTCAATATGGAGTTTTGGCTTTGTAGATAAATTTATATTTTAACAATTATAAAGCTTTTTTATATGGTTTTATATTTGTTCTTATTTTAATTTTAGCTCGAGAATCACAACCCTTAGCAGATGGTTGGCATCGTGTACACAGTTACCCATATTGGTACAAATTGGTCAAAGTACCGTCTGACTATCAAACAGCCAGGAAAAACTGCGAACGCATGGGAGGCCGATTAGCAGCAACGGGTATTCGCAACCCAACTATTCGCAGGTAATTCAACATTGTATATTACAAATATAATATTAGTATTGCCATATAGACATTTGACTCAACAATATTTAAACTTCACCCGTAATCCAAAAACACTTTCACGATCTCAAGTTTATTGTGGAAAAGCTATATGATGCGTCATTGTGGAACCCTCTCATATGTTTTCTTTGTATAGGGTGTGAGTGAGTTAAGTAGTTTCAGACTTATTTTGTAACGAGAACGAGGTGCATTTCGAGTGAACTTTTGGCACGATTGGGGACGAAAGAATTGGAAAAAGGCTATATGCGTCTTCCGACTGATTCAACCTTGTATTGAGGAAAAATTCAAATTGATTGATCTAGAAGTTGCGGGAAAGCGATTAGATGGGTTTTAAAAATACAACATATAAAACTGAAGTTTGGAGTTTGACCTTCTTCAAATTATTGTTCAAAAATAAATATTGAACAGCTCAAGTCTTTTACTTTCGTTTCGCATTTCGAATAAGAAAATGAATGTTGGGAATTCAATGCCTTATTAAATAATACATCGAACTTCATTATTTCCTTTCTTAAATTATTTGATATTGTTGGCTAATTTATGTTCACTATGTTTAAAATATAATAAATATCATTTTCAGCGATCTTGTCGGCAAATTTAATAGAAAAACAGAAACTTCGATCTGGATAGGACTTGACGACCTTAAGAAACAATACAACTGGAAATGGTCGGACGGAGTTTCATCAACTTCTTCTAATACACCATGGAGTGAGGGTGAACCAAATCGTCGAGATGAAAGGTGCGCTTGCATGCGCGAGCCTCTACAATATAAGTTGATAGACACCCTTTGTTCCATAAAGATATTATACGTCTGTGAAAAGTAATCATTTCTTTCTTACTTCGAAAGGATTGCAACAATAATCAGAAAACTATAGTCTGTAGCCTATCCACAACTCAGGCTAAAGTCCGAACCCCCAATATCCATACGGGCCTGATTGTTTTTTCTTTGAAATGCACGTTCCAGAATTTAACCGGTTCAAAGATTCTTCCCTAAAATTTTTCCTATTTTGAAACCTACGTTATTCTTGTTTCAAATATTCCCATTTGAAAAGATAAATATTTTGAATACGGTTACTTAAATGAATTTATCTAAATTTGAAAAACCCATTTAAACCTTAAAAATAAAAGGTTTGACATGTTTTTGAATTAATTGTTTTACCCCAAAATGCTTTTAAAGAACAAATATTAAATAATAGCTATAGTACTTTATCCGGGCAACAGTGAATCTAAGAATTATATATTTTCTTTATTATTTGAAAATGATTTTTATTGTAGGCCTTTTTATTTTAAACAATTCAATGTTATATTTATCAGTAATGTTAAGCAGAATGTAATGAATGTGAAACACGAGACACGTCCAGGACAATGGATACTCCCGTATTATACCAGCTTAGAGGTTAGGGCCCAGGGGTCGGGAACCTTTTTGGTCAAGAGATCCATAAAAGGTACATATTTTCATACAAAAAAATTCTTTGAAATGTCACAAAATATGTTCCAGAATCCCCTAGTCTTGTCACAATGCCCGTCTGAAAATTCTCTTAAATAACATAGACATGCGCTGGGCGTGCGTTCGCAAACGTATTGAGAATTTCCTGCCAAATTTGCTATAAAATAGTTTGAAATCTTGTAACAATAGTAAGCTTAGCCTTAGAATGTCAAATTCTTCTAGGAGCCATATGCCGTCACCAAAAGAGCCATATATGGCTCGCGAACCATGGGTTTCCGACCCCTGGGTTAGGCCATAATTTTATTTCGATTTTCTTCACTTTCGTTATATTACGAGTTCGCGACTGTCAGTGTTAGCCCCGCTACATCTAAACAGACAGACAGAACGACTGATAATAAGGGTCTCCTAGAACGGAGATCCAAAAATTGCAATTCAACCCTAACTATGTGACCTCACTAATGCCACGGGTCATTTGATACTGTTCCAATTATGACATCCCACACACCTGGATATGCTTGCGTCATGCATGTCATTCATTTCTAATCCTTTTATGAACAAGGACATATCGAACGTCTTCTCATTCGATCAACGTTCTTCGCTCTGTCTGCGCTTTGGCTCAAGCGGATATGGCACCCCCCCAATGCCCCCCCCCCCTCCAATGGTTGGTGAGGTTACACAAAGTATCAATATCCTAATGAAAAGAATCGACATAAATATCAGTGTACAAAACGACATAGTTAACCACAAGTCAATCGATTGTATTTTATGGTGAAACGAGTGAGTATTTTGTACTATTAACATTAATTTAAAGGCTTCAGCATAATCATTCTTTGACAAACAGTTTCTTATTACTGAATGGTTTAGTGTGAATATAATCAAATGATGAATGAATGACAAAGTGGAACTGGAGGTGAGAGGTCGATTTATTACATAAATGATATTTATAACACGGGATACCGTTTTAACCGCCCATGCGCCCTATGGTGGCCTACTACTTGTCGAAGCGGAGCCCTTTATATTTATTTATCTTATTTTATTTTTCAATTTCATCGCGTTCTTTTTGAAGGTGAAATTTGTTACATTAAATGTTTAGATTACACTGTAACTATGTAGCTATGCTATGTAAAATGTTGGGATCGCTGGTTTAAGTTTTTCAGATATACAAACTTTCAACACCAAAGATGACATGTCGAGGGTTAGCTATGAAGACATGATGAACTTAGTCGCATTCAAAAAATAGTGGAAAAAATATACAAACCGCTCAACTTCGACTCATCTACATTAGTGCCTCGGATAATGACAATAACTTTCTTATTTTTATCATTACTCTAAAATTGCGCAAAGCTCACAGTTCCCGTTTTTGATGTTCACAAGTATATAATGATTCCGTTTATTATCATTCATTGGAAAATTCAATTAGTCCAAACAGAAAATGCAATACCTTAACTCAACAATTAAAATCAATTCAATATGTTCGATACTCAGAATACATGATTTTATAATAATAAAGGTTGTTAATAAAGATCGAGTTTACAATGAATATACGGTTCCACAAAAAAGTTGAAAGCAATGTTTTGTGAATAAAAATTCAATTTACTCAATTATCGAATAGTCGTAGCTATAGTTTTAGACTATTTTCCGTAGCTATATTTTAGGCGAGTTACTATAGATATTGTTTCTTTTTTTTGTTCATATCATTACCATATAGTCAAAGGGAAAAAGGGAATTTCTCAATTACTTCTCACAAAGATAGAATTGTTTGTAATTACAACTCACATCTGCTATCTGATATTGCAGTTGATTCCACATACACACACCTCTTTCATTTCGACCATTTGGTTCTCCTCGGCCCCATGGTGTATTAGAAGAAGTTGATGAAACTCCGTCCGACCATTTCCAGTTGTCTTGTTTCTCAAGGTCGTCAAGTCCTATCCAGATCGCAGTTCCTGTTTTTCCAATAAAGGTGTCGAGAAGATCGCTTAAAATGATATTATGTCTAATTTGAAACAACAATGTCAAATAATTTAGAAAAATACAAAAGTTGAACGTAAATTTTTCTAATCAATTGGATTTCCAACACTCACTTGAAAGCTTTAACTATTCATAGTTTTGTTTTCCTTATTAAATTAACTTAGTCTAATGACAATACTATTATAATTGAATAATTACCTGCGAATAGCTGGGTTGCGTATACCCTTTGCTGCTAATCGACCACCCATGAGTTCGCAGTTTTTTCTGGCTGTTTGATAGTCTGACCGTACTTTGAATAGTTTGTACCAGAATGGGTAAGTGGGAACACGATACCAACCATCTGCTAAGAGTTGTAATTCTCGAGCTAAAAATAAATAAGAACAAATATAAAACCATATAAAAAAGCTTTATAATTGCTTAATATATGAAATTCTCTAAAAAGTCAAAGCTTCATATTGAAGTTTAGATCAAGAGAGCGGTTTGCAAATCCTCAGTCTTAGCCATATTCAACACTTGCGACACAATCAATTAACGTAAGGTTTTTAAATAAATAAATGTTATAAAATATAATAAGAGTAGGAATTTGAGGTAGTAACTATTTTCGGTGATTTGAACTTTGTGTGCCAACTCATCATATCGTGAGCAATTACATTGTGTTTCGCTTTCTCCTTTAGCTCCTTGACGTCCCGTGGTGCCAATTTGTCCTGGTGATCCGATATCACCCTTTGAACCTTCTGGACCTTTCTTGCCTGGTCGACATGCTGTTTGAAATTGAGAATCATTTTGAACTAAAGAATATTTATTTTAGTTTACAAAATTTTTACACGTGAGGGTTGCATTTAGCAGAGTTGTATTTTTATTTCTAATTATTTAAAAATAATCCAATATTTACCATTTATTGCTGTTTCGCGAATTTTTTTTATGATTGAAGATACCATGTCCAAGGTGTTTAAAACTGAAAATATATACTCTCTCAAAACTCAATAATCTGAAAATCTGTCTTATAATAAAATGGGGGAATCCCATAGTATGTTTACCAGGTTAGAGTTAGGCCATAATTTTATTCCAATTTTCCATATTTTAGTTCTAATACGAGTTCGGGGACTGTCTGTGTTAGCCAAGTGGATATACCCCCTGCCCATAGGCCACCGTTCCTTTACACAACTTGATGTAAAGTAGGCGAACAAAATTAGATATCTCCATATTGGTACACATACTTCTCGAACGCCAACAATTGTAAAAACAAAATATCGCATTAAATATAAAACCAATACTTTAGACTCAGGTTTCCCGATTACGCATTGGTGCAATCTTGTGATTAAATCAAAAATTCTTTTTTCAATTCAATGTCTTTCTCATTTTCTTTTAGTTTCTGTTCCAGGGCTTTGATTCTGACATCGTGTTGATCAATTTTTCTTGAAATTACATTTTCAATTTCACTAGATATGCTCACGTTGTTATCAGAATTTCCCGAGCCAGGTGCGATCTCTGGATTCGTTGTGACAAAGCTAATATTGCTTTGATGTTCTTGAGCGCAACATTCAACTACGCATAGGAACGTAAAGATGATGGATGCTAACAAACCCATTTTGTAGTGAGAACCGTCACAGAGTATCGATTTACGATAATGGAGATATGACTTAGGTACCAACGCTTTATATATATTGCTTCATTTTTTTCTTGGCAACCATTGCCTTTTCTGTCAATTGCCGGGCAGCGCAATAACCTCGCGGTTAAATTCTTAAGATGCAAATGGCATCGCAGATTACACAAATCCCATGCGCCCTGCCCCACTCAGGGAGTAATAAATTGAGTAAGCACTGCTGAAACCAAAAGGTTCAGGTCATTCCAAATAAATAGTAGCTACTCAAATATCATTAGAAGTCAGTGGTTGTTTGTACATGGCTTTGTTTTGAGTGAAAGGCGAGAGTAAGCGTCGTACTCAAAGAAAATCACATTTCTTGTTTCTTTATTTTAACTGAGAATGGCCCATATTAGTGAGAGTGTGCAATGTTGTAATAATTTTGCAACGTTAGTTAATTGTGAAATCATACATATTCTTTTGCTTCATTTTCAGCAGCCATTATTCAATCCTGTCTTTGCATTTATAAAATTTTACTCGCTGCCACATACCCATTCAAGTTTCCCCCCTTATAATAAGCCCATACTCACTTTGTATTCGTGTTCGATACAAAAAATATTTGGACTGTAAAAGAATATTTCTTATGCCGCGACACCTATATATTTGATTTGATTTTCTCTAATTTGATAGGGTAATTCGGGTCAAGAGTCGGTGTCCTGTTTCAAACAACATTAAGCGTCGCATTAAAATAAATCTAACTTTCTTGGTTCCTATTTCCGCAAAATGATCGGGAATCGTTAGAGTACTTTTTTTTATTTATTTCAACCATATTACCCCATGACGCAATCACCCATATGTAATCGTATGAGCCCATAGCCCATTACGTAAACAATATATTTTCAATTGTTTTCATTTATATTTTCAAGCGTGTAATTCAAATGTATATATAAACATTCAATGCGTAGTCAAAAAGTAACCATGATTGAGAGAGTTTTTAAAAACTTTTGGGTCAACTCTTTGTGGAATTCTGCTTAGAATAAGCAGATACTTAATTGACATCCATGTTTGATACGAGAAATAATTGAAGTAAATGATAAATAGTTATTGACCCCGCTATCCTTACGTTTGAATTGAATTATATAATTCAATCGGGGTTAGGAATCGGTGACATCCTCAACGTTGCAACGTCACATATTCGCATATAACGTCGAGGAGTTGAGGCAAAGACTCAAATCTCAATATCATAATGAAAAAAAGAATCGACATGAATATCAGTGTTTTAAATCACATAGTCAAACATAGGTCAGTCAATTGTATTCGATGGTGAAACGAGTGGCAAAAGTTATTTGTACCATTAACATTATTTGTAAAAGGTTATGGGTCGTTTTAGACAATCGTTCATCTCATCATTCTATAGTCTTGTGTGAACATGAATATAATGAAACAGTGAATAATACAGTGAATCTGGAGGTGGGAGCGTTAATAATGTACTGATTGTAGAAGATTGAATATGCCAAAGCTTTTGAAATTAATGTTAACCGTACAAAATAATCTTGACACAGGTTTCAACATCAAATACAATCGATTGACCTGTGGTTGACCAATTAGTTTAGTACAATGATCTTCGTGTCGATTCTTTTCATTATAATATCGGAGCTTTATACTTTGTGTCACCTCGTCAACCTTCTATGAGAATATGTGACAAATGCAATGTTGAGGATGTCCCCGATTTAACACCCCGATTGAATTATTTGACTCAATTCAAACGTAAGGTTGACGGGTTCAAAAATAATTATTTGTCCTTCACCTCAATTATTTCTCGCATCAAACAGGAATGTGAAGTAAGTATCTGCTTATTCCACGTGGAATTCCACCCGAACCTCACTAAAATATCTCAACTACGGTTAGGGTTACTTCTTGATTATGCATTAATTGTTTTTATATACATTTGACACCCTTAAATATAGAGAAAAATATTAAAAAAATATATTGTTTGTGTAATGGGCTCTTGGCTATCACATATGTTTTGTGTGGGTGTGATAACGTTAAAAAAGTACTCCCACCGATTTTTAATCTATCTGGAGAAAATTAAAAGACGAGGAAGCTGGAATTTTTCAATGCGACGCTCAAAGTTGTTTTAAGCATGTCACAGACTCTTGAACCTCATAAAACAATCAGAGGAAATCACCCTAATTAGAGGAATGAAATCGAATGTATAACGACGTGGTATGAAAATATTTTTTAATTGGTCCAAATATTTTCTGTATCGAACAGGAATATAAAATAAGTATCGACTTATTATAGGGGAAAATGTGAAACTGGAAAAGATATGTGGCATCGTGTGAAATTTTATAAATGCAAAAACAGGCTCAAATAACGGCTACTGAAAATGACGCAAGAGAAGATAGTTACAAATGTATGATTTCACAATTAACTAACGTTGCAAAAATATACAAATATTAAACACTCTCACGATTCTGGATCATTCTCTGTTAAAATAAAATAAAATAAAAAAATGTGAACTTTCCTCAAGTACGACGCTTACTTGCGCCTTTCACTCAATACAAGGCCATGTAAGAGCGACCACTGACATTTAATGATATTTGAGTAGCTACTATTTATTTGGAATGACCTGAACCTTTTGGTTTCGGCACTGCCTACCCAATTTATTACCCCCTGAGTGGGGCAGGGCGCATGGGATTTGTGTAATCTGCGACGCCATTTGATCTTAAGACTTTAACCGCGAGGTTATTGCGCCGCCCGGAATTGACAGAAAACGTCACACTTACAAAAAAGGCACTCGTTGCCAAAAAAAATGGAGAACTATATAAAAAGCGTAGGTACCTTAGTTATACCTTCATTATTGTAAATCTATACTCTTGTGCTGGTTCTCACTACAAAATGAGTTTGTTAGCATTCTTCATTCTTACGTTTCTATGCGTAGTTGAATGTTGCGCTCAAGAACATAAAAGCGATATTAGCTTTGTCACAATGAGTCCAGAGATCGAACCTGGTTCGGGAAATTCTGATAACAATGTAAGCATATCTAGTGAAATTGAAAATGTAACTGCAACAAAAATCGATCAACACGATATCAGAATTAAAGCTTTGGAACAGAAACTGGAAGAAATTGAGAGAGAGAAAGTAAAAAATTGCTCGCCAACGTCATGTGAGTTTAAGAAAATATATCTGTTCGTAGATTCATTTACTATTTCTATTATTTTTGTTTCCCCCCTTTCGATGTTCATCAAATTGCAGAATAGATTCAAGACTTATTCATAAGTCAATTGTGTTCTAATCCCAATCAGTAAATTCGAGCAGGGATTTTTGATTTAATTTATACATTGCACAATTGCTTAATCGGGAAACCTGAGTCTAAAATATTGGTTTTATATTTAATGCGATATTTTGTTATTACAAATTTTGGTGCTTCAGAAGTATGTGTACCAATATGGATGTAACTAATTTTGTTCGCCTAGTTTACATCAAGTTGTGTGAAGGAACGGAAGCCTTCGGGCAAGGGGGCATATTCACTTGGCTAACACAGACAGTCCCCGAATTCTTAAGATAACTAAAGTAGGGAAAATCGGAAAAAAATTATGGCCTAATTCTAACCTGGTACACATACTACGAGAGTACCAAATTTTTAACATAAGAGTGATTTTCAGAATATTGAGTTTTGAAAGAGTATATATTTTTAGTTTCAGACACCTCGGACATGGCATCTTTAATCATGGAAAAGGCTCGAGAAACGGTATCAAATGGTGAAATTGAATTTTTAAATAATTACCGTTTTGTAATAAATACCTAAATAATTTCACAAACACCGAAAAGTCCATGTAAACAGCACATTAAAAATACAAATACAACTCTGCTAAATCCGACCCTGACGTGTGAGAATTAGGAATTTTGTAAACTAAAATAATTATTCTTTAGTTCCAAATGATTCTCAATGTCAAACTGCATGTCGACCAGGCAAGAAAGGCCCAGAAGGTGCAAAAGGTGATATCGGATCACCAGGACAAAATGGCGCCACGGGACGTCATGGAGCTAAAGGAGAAAGCGGAACGCCATGTAATTGCTCAGGATATGATGAGTTGGCACACAAAGTTCAAATCCTCGAAGAAGAAAAAGGTTACTATTGCAAATTCATACCCTTATTATACCTTTTCACATTTTTTTCTTTTATTTGAAAACCTAACGTTAATTGATTGTGTCGCAAGTGTTGCATATATGGCTAAAAATGTGGATTTGCGATTATCTTTATGGACTTAAACTTCGATATGGAGCATTGACTTTTTATATAAATAAATGCATATTTCAGAAAATTATAAAGCTCATTTTAATAGTTCTATATTCGTTTTTATTTCAATTTTAGCTCGAGAATTACAATCAGTTGCAGATGGTTGGCATCGTGTCCCTAATTACCCATATTGGTACAAATTGGTCAAAGTACCGTCAGACTATCGAACAGCCAGAAAAAACTGCGAACTCATGGGTGGTCGATTAGCAGCAACGGGTATACGCAACCCAACTATTCGCAGGTAATTAAACATTGTACATTATATTGGATCCTAGGAAAATTCGCCGCATTTTGCCGTGGAAAATCTTGCTGAATAGAAAATCGTCGCAAGAGCATTTTGCTGTAAAACAATTATTTTGGAAAAAACAGTTGGGTTTTTGAAATACGTTTTTATTTGAAAAAGATTCATTATTTAAGAGCATACCCTAACCTATGAACCTAACTGTTTTTATCACAAATACTTATTCTACTGCAAAATGCTATTGCAGCGATTTTTCATTCGGCGAATTTATCACGGAAACGAGATGAATTTTGAGTGTACTTCTATCGTGATTGGCCGCAAAGGAATTGGAAATAGGTAGTATGCGTATTCCGACTGATTCAACCTTCTATTGATGAAAAATTCAAATTGATTGATCTAGAAGTTGCGTGAAATCGATTAGATGGTTGTGAAAATACAACATATAAAACTGAATATTGAATTTTAATATTCTTCAAGTTATTATTCTAAAATAAACATTGAACTGCTCAAGTCTTTCGTTTCGCATTTTGAATAAGAAATGAATATGAATCCACCGTCGCAAAAGCATAGAAAACGCAAAAGTAGTTGATCTTGTAGAAACCCAATCGATAGCACGAAAAAAGGAATGTTGGGAATTCAATGCCTTAGAAAATAATACGTAGAACTTTATTATTTGTAATTTTCAAATTATTTAACATTGTTGGACCAAATCAAACTCCTCTGTTTAAAATATAATTAATATCATTTTCAGCGATCTTCTCGACACGTTGATTAGAAGAACAGGAACTTCAATCTGGATAGGACTCGATGACCTTGAGGAACAAGACAACTGGAAATGGTCGGACGGAGTTTCATCAACTTCCTCTAATACACCATGGTATGAAGGAGAACCAAATGGTCCAAATGAACGATGTGCTTGTATGTACATGCCTTTTCAATATAAGTTGATGGATACCCTTGGTTTTCTAAGTCGATTCTACCTTTGCGAAAAGTAATCTCTTTTTTTTCTTCATTTTTAAATGATTGCAACAATAATCAGAAAATTTTATTCTGTAGTCTATCCACAACTCAGGCTGAAGGCCAAACCCTCAAAAATCATATAGGCCTAATTCTTTTTCAATTTCTTTTAAAATCATGTTCCAGAATTTAACCGGTTCAAATGTTTCTTCATACAAAATTTTCTAATTATAATCCTCCGTTATCCTTGTTCCGACCATTCCTGTTTGAAAGGATAAATATAGATATATTATATATATATATATAAGTTTGAAAAACTGTATGATTTTAACCTTAAAAATTAAAGGTGAAACACTTTTTTGAATTAATTTATCTATTTTACCCCAATAATGCTTGTAAAGGACACATATTAAATAATAGACATATTACTATATCCGAGCAACAGTGAATCTAAGAATTATATATACTCTTTATTATTTAAAGAAGACTTTCATTGTATACCTGTTTTTTTTTAACCTTCGGACAGCTCAAATCCCTGACCATTTTATGGGTATTTTCAAACTTATTTTTTTTGTCAACCATTAAGCCCTAAATCTTAACTCATGGCTTTTTGAAAGCGTCTGCTAGAGTTCTATTCAGCAATATATCTTTAAAACACACTCATCGAAAAAAAATTTTTGCAAAAAAATTTCAAAAATTTCTAAAAAAAAATTGAACTTTGAGATATTCTGTGTACAGTAGAGGGTTAATAATTAATTCCTAATTAATTAATTTTTTCTTCAACGTTTTCGTCAAGTTTTTCCTAACATAACAATACCAAAACGACTATTATAGCATAAATGGTTATTACTCTGAAATTCACAATTGTATTTACAGTATTGTCAAGTTCAAGGTCAAATTACCGATATTGATGATGTCACAGCTCTTATTATTACTGCACAGACCACCCCCAATGCAAAAAAATTAAATTTTTTCGACGGAAATGCGCGTAGAACGACGTAAACAATCCCATACGCACATTTACGCGTTAAAATTACCATTAATTTTACGTTTTTTTTACATACAAAAAATCTCCATACCTCTGCCAACTATGGAGCAGTCAAAATCATATTTATCAAAACAACACAGCGCCAGGGATGGTCAGGGATAGTTAGTATGACTGAAAATACATGCTAAAACAATAATAAGTCGTTATAAAGGAGTATTTCCTGTCTGAGCTGAGTCGACATTTTCAGACGTCTGACAGGCAATTTTGAAATCCACGCTATTTATACGATTCGCATTTTGCGTCACGGCTGGAAGGTTTTATCGCTTCTCTCATACCAGGGCATTACGTCAATAAACAGCTAAGAGCGATAGTAACAGTAGGTTATCATGCGCTAGCCTTAATAGCGCCGGTAAGCCCATACTTATGGGCCATATGAGCCCATATGGGCTTACCGGCTGTGGGAGGGTTTTGAATGGAATGTTATTTATATTTATCAGTAATCTTATGCAGAGATAAATGTGAAGAACGAAACTTTTACACCAGGACAATGATCGTCAAGTATAGTCGTATGAATAGTTTCGACTTTCAAAGCCAGACAGATTGGGCAACAGAACTGAACTAGCTAATAAAATTTTTCTCAAACAATTCGAGTGTAAACATCTTAATACCGAATTTCGTTAATTAGATCATGTTTAACATTCGTGCATCATCATTGCATATATACAATCATATCATTGACGTCAAAGCAGTGACATATTAAATGGTTTAAACTAATGTTTGAAAGATGTTGTGCGGATTACAGCAATTATTTCCATACTAATAATATTTTTGGAGTAACATTTAGGTTTCATCTGAGGCTAGGCTTTGCTCTTTCCCGACCTTTATTATCATGGAATTGTCTTACGAGTATTTGGCAACCTATTTACTAACTTACAAAAAAGCGTGGAGGTAGCTCACGTGAGATGAACGATAGTGCCGTTTTTAAGCCGCCTAATGTGTGGGCCAAGTAACCTCATGCTTTATTGCTTACACTCAAAACCAGTATCGGTTTTGCTATTATTAAAGACCTTTGCGCCTTATAGACCGATAAGCCTTATGTATGAAAAAAGATCAATCAAAGCCATTAATTGACAGTGCGCCTCGTATTACGGTTCGTCTTATGGTCCGTGTAATACGGTACCATAATCCTATTCTCATTGTATCACGATTGTCGAAAACGACGGTATAAGGAAAAGATGGTTTTTAAGTTGTGGTGTATGATTACACTAGTGCAGAGGTTCCCAAACTTTTCCAACTTGCGGGACACTAACAACAAAGTTAAAATATCGCGGCACAGTTATTACAAATCAGTTTTAATAAATCCTTTATACGTAAATATTATGCGTTTCGACAGTAAATAAAATTAAAAAAAGACTTCGTGGGTCAATTGTTTAAAAATTCTTTATCGCTTTTAGACTTTTATTTCTGTCAGCGCATAAAATTAATATTTGCAAAATCATGAAAATGCAAATGGAAAAAATATTTTGTTGTACTATATATATATATATATATATATATATATTGCAAGGGTAGCCAACACACCGTTCGGGATCGACCGATCGCCACGTCTCGAGTAGTCGATCGTGGTGATGTTGAGTAAATTTGCCAAAATTTCAAGCGAGCAAAGAACCGAACGAAAATTGTAAATTAGATACTGAAATTTCCGCAGTCATGTAACTTTTGGGATTTGAGATTATTCATTATTCGCTGTTTAGATAATACATAAATACTTTTCAAGGTTTTCGGAGGAATTGAAAACACTTGCGACTAAAAATTAGACAGGCCTAGAACTCTATTGTATGATTTGAATAAATCTATAATGAATGATAAAAAATTTACTCGGGGTACAATCACAAAATCAAATTAACAAATTGAATGGAATATAAAAAATGCAAATTTTTGTGGCAATTTCATTGAGCCGAGCTTATTGGCAGTGGTGGAATTTTTGTATGCGTGTGCGGTGCGGTTATCTGCGTATTCAGCATTCATTCTTTTTTTTTGTGACCTTATGAACGATCAGTCGATCGCGAGCTATTTTGAAGATTTTAGTTAATCGCGGTTGAAAGCAGGTTGGCCACTCCTCATATATTGTATTGCATATGTTTTACTGATATACTGACAGAAAATTTGCATGGCAAAATTTGTGAAAAATTTAACAACTGGAAATATTCTTAAAAAGGCTCCTCAATTTCTAACTACTGAAAGTTTGAAGAAGATTGTCTAGTTAAAGTCAAGTGACTTTGCTTTGGGCAAACTTGCATTAATTATTGAATTTGGGTCGAAAACGTATAACGCCTTATATAATGGAAAAATTGGGGCATATTACATCATCTGGCGGTGGAAAGAATAATAAATCTTTATACATGGTGACCAAAGAAAACGGAATTCATACAATATGTTCCAAATGGACTGGATTCTGTTTTTGGGTCATCCTATATATGTGTGGTACCAAACTACACCCGTTGATCATTGCAATGTAATGAAGTTTATGTTGCAGTGTTGAATATTGTGAAAAAATCTCAGGAATTTCGTGAAAATTCGCGGCACACTTTCAGGACCTTGGCGGCACACTAATGTTTCGCGGCACACAGTCCGAGAAACCCTGCACCAGTGTTTTCATAAACACGAAATGGTCAATGGAGCCAGTATATTTCGGCGTGTATATTCCGAATTGTGCGTCTAATGTATATAAACTCCATTAGGGACTATTAATCGTATTATCGAGTACCACGTCTGATAGCTTGGAAATAACGATGTTCAATTATGGTTAACCTATCTTTGGAAACCTGTGAATTGTATAAAATTTTCAATATTATACTCAAGACACATGTCGCACAGTCGCGAATACGCGTCATCTTTGTAAAAAACCCGGCATGGGTTAACAATCGGAGAAATGTTTAAACCCACGACGATAGTAGAGTAAAATATTCTTATATAAGGTTGACGGGGTGACTAAATATCATAACGAAAACAATCGAAATGACGATCAATATTTTAAACCACACAGTCAACCACAGGACAATCGGTTGTATTCGGTGGTGAAAAGAATATTTTGTACTAAAGAAACACAGCCAACGTGAGCGACCGGGAACTCCAGACAAAATGGCGACGATAATGCGAGAAATTTTAGTCACGTGACCTATCCAATGCTGCCATCTAGCGTTATGAATCAAAAAAGTCTGAAACTGCTTATTCCACGCATTTGGGGAATCATTTAACCCAAGAGAATATCCCTGCAGTCTCGAAAGTGTTCAAACTGCTTCGACATATTCAACATTAAAGTAAAATTGGAGGTGAGAGGTCGATACGTTACATTAATGATATTTATAATACGTACTGTAGGACACCAGAACTTCGTGTAGTTACAACATAAAGTGACGCTGCGAGATGAAAGAGTGCGTAGTAATCGCCTGTGTGTTCTAGTTAGAGTGTTAATTTAAGTGATTGAATGTAGCGGCGCCGTTATTTCTCAAGTCCTATTTTGTTCTCTGTATAAATTAAACACAGTTCATTAAAGGTTTAGTACAAGAGCCAAGGCGATATATTACTACTCTTACAATTCTCCGGATCCCAGTATAAAATTTATCAAAAAATAGTAGTTTTCTACACCAATAATGTTCCTTGCTTCTGGCGTTAATTTTTGAAACATGATGAACTTGGTCGCATAAGAAGATAAAAAGTTCACCCAAGCAATTGATCGATTATGTGGATTAAATTGTGAGCAAGAAATTTAACACCCTCACATTCGCCCTATCACTCTCATAATAATAATATTGAGTTCTCTATTTCGTTCAATAACTCCAAATACGCAAAGCTCACTATGTTACCTAATTTTAATTTATTAAGTTTTTAAATGTTGGTAAGTATATAATAATTCCGTTTATCATCATTCATTGAAAAATGTTACTAGCAAACAAAACGCACTACTTTATCTCAACAATTAAAATCAATTTAATATGATCGATACTCCGAATACACGATTTTATAATGAAAAAAGTTTTTGATAAAGATCGAATTTACAATTTGTGAATGAAAATGCAATTTACTCAATTGACTATAAATATTGCTTCTTCTTTTGTTGAGATTATTTCCATTAATTGAGAGCAAGAAGGGAATTTTTCAATTACTTCTCACACAGGTAGTATAGTTTGTAATTACACCTCAAATCTGCTATCTGATATTGCAGAGGCTGGTACATACAAGCACATCGTTCATTTCGATCATTTGGTTCTCCTCTGCCCCATGGTGTATTATAAGAAGTTGATGAAACTCCGTCCGACCATTTCCAGTTGTATTGTTTTTCAAGATCGTCAAGTCCTATCCAAATCGAATTTCCCGAACTTCTTATGAACTTGCCGAGAAGATCGCTGAAAATAATATTATATTACGTTTAACTCAGACCAACAATATCAAATAATTTTAAAAAGGAAATAACGAAGTTCGACGTAATTCTCTTTAACAAATTAGATTTCGAACACTCTTTTTCATTTTGAAAAATAGATTGAAGGTAAAAGATTTGAGCCATTGATTGTGTCTTTTCATCATTAAATTGACTATTTTATACCTTTCATCTGACAGTTGTTGTTGTTGTGAAAATACGCTCCTACGCGACTTCCAGATAAACCAATTAGATATTTACATCACTCAAAGATAGGTAGATGTATACTGTCTATTCTAAATGTTTTGTTTCTAATCGGACCAAAGTTTCATCGAAAATTCAGTTTGTTCTGAGTTACAAAACAAACTACATAACTTTCAAACCCCATACAAGAAAAAACATACTTGCTTTCCCACGGAATATATGCGATCGTCACAGAGTATTTTGTAACAGTTTTGATGTTTAATTATTATCGAGCCAAATGACAAACTATTATATTTGTAATATACAATGTTGGATTACCTGCGAATAGTTCGACTGCGTATACCATTTGCTGCTAATCGGCCTCCCATGCGTTCGCAGTTTTTCTTAGCTGTTTGATAGTATGACGATACTTTGACTAATTTGTACCAATATGGGTAACTGGGAACACGATACCAACCATCTGCTACTAGTTTATCTGCAAAAGAACAAATTTAAATCGATATCAAATTGTTTGGCAGGTGTTTAGTATCAAATATTTCAATCTCATTGTCTTGACTTCCCCTGCCATATGAAAAAATATTTGTTCGATTAAGGTTTTAAACGGTTTATTACATATTGATCATTTACCATCGAAACAAAACCAAAATTCTAAAGATCCTAAACTGAAGTTATATTTTTAAACTAATGCTATGTTATATGCAGGAACATATATATAGGTTATCACATGCGAGACATACACAGCTAACAATGAAAAGTTTTTTCCTGAATAAAGAATTTTTTTAAACTATAACACGGGTTTGAATTAAAGATAGTAGTAACCTGTTTGTTCGAGGATTTGAACTTTGCGTGCTAACTCATCATATCGTGAGCAATCACATGGTGTTCCGCTTTCTCCTTTAGCTCCCTGGCGTCCTGAAGCACCACTTTGTCCTGGTGTTCCTCTTTCTCCTTTAGCTCCCTGACGCCCCGTGGCGCCAATTTGTCCTGGTGGTCCGATATCACCTTTTGCACCTTCCGGGCCTTTCTTGCCTGGTCGACATGTTGTTTGACATTGAGAATCATTTGAGGCTGAACAATAATTATGTAAGATTGAAACAAGTGTTGAAAATGCATATACCGATGAAATTTTTCTTTTGAAAAATTTTCATTGAGGATTTTGTTGGTGTAATTTTTATCTGATAATGAGATAAAAAATCAAAACGTTTTTGTGTGTGTATATTTAATATATCAAACCAAAATATTAAACTAGATCTAGCGACAACCCAGAGAACACTCTCAAAGTATACATTAGAAATGGTTGCAATGGTAACGTATAGGAATAATTTATCTGGGACTAATGGCCGGGGAAACATCCACTGTCTATTGCAAGTCAGTCATCAGTTCAAAATAAATTTACCATTTGTTACTGTTTCTCCGCTCTTTTCCATAACTAAGGATGTCATATCACATAATTTCACACCTGAAACAGAAAATTTAATGCGTTGAAACGCGATAAACGATTATATATACTAACAAAATATCGCATTAAATGCAGGGTGACTCGCATAATCACAAATCCCCTAATTTTTTCAATTTCTTGAGTGTGATCGAGTAAATCATTTGAATAAATTATTACTTAAACTTCTGTTTGTGTATGATTGTGCCCAAAAGTTCATGGATCTAGGAAGGTTTGCGCAAAAGTTATGTTTCTCTAGAATATGTTCCTAATTACCTCCTATCTATAAGCAATGGAGACACCTGTATCCATTGCGCAAATTCGTCAATCACCCACTTATTTTTGCTGAATCACACTTGCTGCTGTCAGGGTATGTCAACAGCAAAAATATTGAATATCTGGGTATAACACCGCCGAAGAGTCTGTGTCTGTCGCTAGTGTCTAAGACAGAGGTGACAACCATGAAATTTTGCCCGCCAAGAAATTTTGTGCGTCCCGCGAAGAATTCATGCTATTCAGTGTGTTTGTCGTAAAGTCATATTCCTTTAGGAACTGTGCAAAGAAAACGGGAGCGAGAGGGTTATTCATAATACTGGCAACGATAGTCTACATGTAGTTTTGTCGGATCAACGACACCTCTAACAATGGATCAAAAGGGCATTTGTTTTAGCAAAAATTCGACTCGATGATTAAAACAATGGAAACCTTCGTTTATCATTTCTGTATCTGAAGGCTTGCGAAATACGGATCTTTTGTACAAAGCCCCCACAACTAATGCGAAAATAGGAAATTTGAGAAAAACATTAGACTAAACTCACATGATGTTGGCGAGCACTTTTTAACTTTTTCTCTCTCAATTTCTTCTAGTTTCTGTTCAAGCGCTTTCATTCTGATATCGTATTGATCGATATTTGCTGAAGGTAAATTTTCTGGACTAGTTGTGACAATGGCAATATTTCTTCGATGTTCTTGAGCGCAACATTCAACTACGCATAGGAACATAAGAACGATGAATGTTAACAAACTCATTTTGTAGTGAGAACCAGCACAAGAGTGTCGACTGAGACAATGACGATGTAACTGAGGTATACAAACGCTTTTTATATGGTGCTTCATTTTTTTATAGCAACGTGTGCCTTCTTTGTCAATTTTTGGGCGACGAGATGGCCTAGCGGTTAATGCTCTAGTGCAGGGGTGTCCAACCAGTCAAAGACCAAGAGCCGCATTTCGTATTTTATTACCGCGCAGAGTCACCTTATAAACAATAACACACATAAACATCAGATATACCTTTATTCAGATCTTCTAGAATGCTAGTTTATTGCAAATGTCACTAACCGACATGATTATGACCGAAATTTACAAATCATTTAATGTTATGCATGTTACTTAGTGGGACTTCTGACATTCCCTAGATTGAACAATTTTCGTAAAATTTGGCTTGTACATGTCGTTATAGCCAATCGAAGCAGTTCTTTCACATGGGTGTCAGTCAGAACAAATCAATGCTTTGATTTTAGGCGTTTTAGGATAGAAAACATGGATTCGCAGACGTATGTTGACACAAACATTGGCAATATCCTAAGCGCAGCTCGTTTGACATTGGAATATTTTTTTATTGGCATGCTTTTCCATAACTCAATGCTTATTTTCAAAAAAGCAGGGGTCTCCACTTCAAAACATGTCGCGGGCCACTTTTTGAAATTTAGTCACCACGCGGGCTGCAAGCCAATAAATTAGGTACAAAAGAGGGTATCTGAATGTGATGTGGTAAAATTACACTTGAATCTTACAGCAAATGAGACATGAAACATATTCATTTACTTGGGCTGGATATTTGGTTGGTTTGCTAGTCTCAAGACAACAACAAAATGCTCGTCCGTTAGTCGTGTGCGGAGGACTGACTTGGTGACTTTCATAGTTGAAAAAAAAAATTGCTCGCAAATATAAGAACTGCCAAACATCGCAGGTATGCGACGATAATGTGCAATTAGCTTCGCAAACCTTTCTTCGGCGCAACGGACTAAACGAAATTCGTTTATTTCGTCACAATGAACATGCGAAATGAAATTATTGCATTTGTAATTGAATTATACCAATGGAATAAAACATGAACATGGACAACAGGGGAAAATTTTTTCTTCATTTCATACAGTTTGTCGGACCGGACTCTTAATGATAAATGACACGATAAAACTTACTAATAGTCCCATTGGTTTTTGTGGAAAAATCCCAACCATGACGCGGGCCGCGTGTTGGAGACCCCTGAATTAAAGCGTATTTCTTCAATTACTTTTGTCAAATGGTAAACTGCGCGTTTACCGCCGAACTTCGTTTTTGATACGATTACTACAGCCGTTGTAGTGCAAAGTACGCGTCTCACAACAAAGAGTTTGATGGTGACGAAATAGTGGACGATTGCATGGTAAAGTGAATAAAGGCGCTCATGTATCTTCAACGTAAAAGAAGTATGCACTATGAATCATAATATGTTTAATCGAAACATGATGAATCGTAGTTTGCGAGTTATTTATTCCTTAAAATAACCAAGGCAAAAAGAGCCTCATGAAACCGGAGCAAGAGCCGCATGCGGCTCGCGAGTCGTGGTTTGTTCACCCCTGCTCTAGACTCTAGACTCAACCGTGTTTGTATCGCAGAATATACATGTCGGATTTATACCCCATGTGCCCTACCTTATTCAGGATGTCATAAAATGGGTAGGCACTAGGCAGTGTCGTACCAAAATAGTTCAAATCATCAAAATGAATAGTAGTTTCTTCCATATCGTTAAATATCAGTTGCTGCTTATACAGGCCCTTGTTTTGAGTGGAAGGCGCGGATAAGCGTTGTAAATTTCACATTACTTGTTTCCTAATTTTCCCCGGTGTGATCGAGAATCGTGAGAGTACTTTTTTGTTTCGACGTTTAGCCCATTACACAAACAATATTTTTTTAATTGGTTTCATTTCTATTTCCATGGGTGTCAAATGCATATAAAAACAGTCAATGCGTAATCAATAAATAACCCAAACTATAATTGAAAAAGAAATTTCAATGAAATTTGATTCCACTTTTTGTGGAATTCCGCGTAGAATAAATAGATACTTACTTGACATTCCTGTTTGATAGAGGAATAATTGAAGTAAATGACAAATAATTATTTTTGGACCCCCCATCCTTACGTTTGAAAAAAAATCATATTTTCCAATGGGGGTTAAGAATCGCTGACATCATCAACGTTGCATTTGTCACATATTCGCATATAAGTTTGACGAGGTGGCGACAAAGTATCAAGCTTCAATATTATAATGAAAAGAATCGACTCGAAGGTCAGTGTTTTCTAAACCACGTAGTCAACCATAAGTCAATCGATTGTATTTGATGGTGAAACCTGTGCCAAGATTATTTTGAACCGTTAACATTGATTTCAAAAGCTTTGGCATATGCAATCTTTTACAATCAGTACCTTATCAACCCTCCGACTTCCAGATCCACTTTATTATTTACTGTTTTATTATATTCATGTTCACACAAAACAGGATGATGAGATAAAGGATTGTCTTATGCGATTATGCATGAGCTTTAACAATTAATGTTAAAAGTACATAATACTCTCGAAACATGTTTCACCATCAAATACAATCGATTGACCTATAATTGACTATGTGTTTAAAACACTGATATTCATGTCGATTATTTTTTCCATTGTGATATTGAGATTTGATACTTTGTGCCACCTCCTCAACCTTATATGAGAATATGTGACAAATGCAACGTTGAGGATGTCACCGATTCTTAACCCCGATTGAATTATATGATTTAATTTAAACGTAAGGTTGGCGGGGTTCAAAAAAATTTATTTGTCATTTACCTCAATTATTCCTAGTATCAAACATGAATGTCAATTAGGTATCTACTTATTCTAAGCAGAATTCCACAAAAAGTTGACCCAAATGTTTTTTTAAAAACTCTCTCAACCATGGTTACTTCTTGATCGCATTGATTGTTTATATATACATTTAAATAACACGCTTGAAAATATAAATGCAACCAATTAAAAATAGGTTGTTTTCGTAATGGTTACTGAACTCATATCATTACATATATGTCGTGAGTGTAATAACGTTGAAACAAATATGTACTATCACGATTCTCGATCATTATGGGGAAGACAAAGAAACAAGAAATGTGATTTTTTTCAAGTAAGACGCTTACTCGAGCCTGTCACTCAAAACAAAGCCCTGTATAAGCAGCCACTGACATCTAAGGATATTTGAGTAGCTACTATTTAGTTGGAATGACCTGAACCTTTTGGTTTCAAAACTGCCTACCCAATTTATGCCTGAGTGAGGCAGGGCGCATGGGATTTGTGTAATTTGCGATGCCATTTGCATCTTAAGACTTTAACCGCGAGGTTATTGCGCCGCCCAGCAATTGACAAAAAAGGCACTCGTTGCCAAAAAAAAATGGAGAACTATGTAAAAAGAGTAGGTACCTTAGTTATACCTTCATTATCGTAAATCGATACTCTTGTGCAGGTTCTCACTACAAAATGGGTTTGTTAGCATCCTTCATTCTTACGTTCCTATGTGTTGTTGAATGTTGCGCTCAAGAACATCGAAGCAATATCAGCTTTGTCACAAGGAGTCCAGAGATCGAACCTGGCTCGGGAAATTCTGATAACAACGTAAGCCTATCTAAAGAAATTGAAAATGTAACTTCAACGAAAATCGATCAACACGATATCAGAATCAAAGCTTTGGAACAGAAACTGGAAGAAATTGAGAGAGAGAAAGTAAAGAAGTGCTCGCCGACGTCATGTGAGTTTAGGAAAATATATCTGTTTGTAGACTCTCTTACTATTTCTATTATTTTGTTTTATTTTTCTACCTTTATCAAATTCACAGACGAAATTATATAATATTAGCATAAAATTGGGTCTTATTGGTAAGGCGATGGTTCTAATTTCAATCAGTAATTTAAAAAAAAATAATTATTTAATTTCCACATTGCACAATTGCTTAATCGGGAAACCTGAATCTAAAATACTGGCTTTAAATTTAATGCGATATTTCGTTATTACAGTTTTTTATATGATTTTCAGATTTTAAGAAAGTATATATTTTCAGTTTTAGACACCTGGGACATGGCATCTTTAATCATGGAAAAAGCTCGAGATACTGCAATAAATGGTAAAATATTGGATTGTTTTTAAATAATTACAGAATTATAATAAATATAAAATTGAAGATGATAATTTCATGAATACAAGAAAGTCAATTGGACCGAAAGGACCGAAAGGACAAAATGGTGCCACGGGAAGTCAGGGAGCTAAAGGAGAAAGTGGAACACCATGTAATTGCTCACGTTATGATGAGTTAGCACGCAAATTTCAAATCCTCGAAGAAGAAAAAGGTTACCATCTTAAATTCATAGCCTTATTATAAATCATCACAATGTTTTATTTAAGGACTTCACGTTAATTGATTGTGTCGCAAACCGCAAGTTTTGCATATTTGACCAAAAATGAGAAATTGCAAATCACTCTCCGGATCTAAACGTCGATATGGAGCTTTGGCTTTTCCTAGATAAATTCTGTTTTAAGCAATTATGAAGCTTTTTCTTTTAATTCTATATTTGTTTTTATTTTAATTTTAGCTCGTGAATTACAACCCGTAGAAGATGGTTGGTATCGTGTTCACAGTTACCCATATTGGTACAAATTGGTCAATGTATTGTCGGACTATCAAACAGCCAGAAAATACTGTGAACTCATGGGTGGTCGATTAGCAGCAAATGGTATTCGGAACCCAACTATTCGCAGGTAATTAAACATTGTATATTACAATTATGATAGTATTGTCATTTAGACATTAGGATCGATAAATATTTGAACAGCAAAACTGTTGCAAAAACTTTCTGACGACCACATATAACTATGCCGTCGGAAAGATGGTTTGTTCTCATCGTATCGTCGATGGGAGTAACATATCATATATATATATACCTTGATTTTAACTTTCCTTCATGTCAAATTAATGGTTAAAACAAAACTATGAATAGTTTAATCTTTCAAGTAAGAGTTGGAAATCCAATTGAATAAAAAGAATTACGTTGAACTTTTGTATTTTTTTAGAATTGTGAAATTATTTCATATTGTTGGTTCAAATTAAACATAATATAATTATTATTTTCAGCGATCTTCTCGACACGTTCATCAGAAGAACAGGAACTCCGATCTGGATAGGACTTGACGACTTCGAGAAACAAAACTACTGGAAATGGTCGGACGGAGTTTCATCAACTTCTTCTAATACACCATGGGGCAAAGACGAGCCCGATGGTCCAGATCAAAGATGTGCTTGTATGCACAATTATCTGGAATATCAGATAGCAGATGTGCTGTGTATTTTCAAAAATTTCTACCTTTGTGAGAAGTAATTGAAAATTTCCCTTGTTGCTTTCGATTAATGGGAATAATCTCAACAAAAGAAGAAGCAATATTTATTGTCACTCTGTTAAAATATGGCTACGACTTGTCAGTGTTCCAAAATTGAGTAAATTGCATTTTCATTTCCAAATTTTTGCTGTCGACTTTTTTGTGGATTCACTGTAAACTCGATCTTTAACAACAACCATTTTCATTATAAAATCATGTATTATGAGTATCGACCATATTGAATTTAATTTAATTGTTGAGTTTAAGTTTTTATCGACTAGTATAATTTTTCAATGAATGATAATAAACGGAATCATTACCTATTTTATATTTGATATTACATAATAATGGTTAAAAATGAAAGTTAGAGAGCTTTGCACCCTTTGAGTTATTGAACAAAGTAGAGAACTCAATATTATTATCGGAGTTCCTTTCCTATACGACTAAGTTAATCATTATTCCAAAGTCGCTGCCAGCAGCAGGTAGCATTCTCGTAATAAACTAACTATTTTTTGATAAATTCCATGTTGAGGTCCGAAGCATAGTAAGATATGGTAAAATATTGCATTGGCCCTTGTACTAAACGTTTAATGAACTGATATTCATTTATTTAAAAAACAAAATAAGACTTGAACGCCGCTATTTGCCGTCGTATAAATCAACACCATATGACACAAAGACGACTACTACGCACGCTTTCACTTCGTGGCGTCACCTTGTAACCGCACGAGGTTTTCTTGTGTTTTACAGTCCGTATTATGAATATCATTCGTGTAACGCAGTGGTTCTCAACTTGTGGTACGCGTACCACTAGCGGTACGCGGATGATGATCAAGTGGTACGTGAGCAGCTTTGAAATATTGCAACAATTAACTTTTTGAGTTGGCCAAAATATGCCGACAACGCTTTATCTTCCATACTGTATGAATTCGCTGAACGGCCTTTATGAATGTTACCCGTGCATCAATTTCCTTGTTTATTTCCGTAACCCCCAACAATCAGTAAACATTGCCTCGTTTTTGTAGTTTTCCCTGTTATTTGTCAATATTCACTTCCGTTTCAAAAAAATAGTGACTTAAATATCTTAATTGTCATTATATTTTCAAAGGAGCATTAACCTTCCGACCGCTCCAATCCCTGACCATTTTATGGGTATTTTTAAACCTATTTTTTTTTGTCAACCATTAAGCCCTTAAGCTTCAATCATGGCTTTTTAAAAGCGTCTGCTAGAGTTCTATTCAGCAATATATCTTTAAAACACACTCCTCGAAAATAAAATTTTTCAAAAAAATTTCAAAAATTTCTAAAAAAAAAATTGGACTTTGAGATATTCTGTGTACAGTAGAGGGTTAATAATTAATTCCTAATTAATTAGTTTTTTCTTCAACGTTTTCGTCAAGTTTTTCCTAACATAACAATACCGAAACGACTATTATAGCATAAATGGTTATTACTCTGAAATTCACAATTGTATTTACAGTATTGTCAAGTTCAAGGTCTAATTACCGATACTGATGACGTCACAGCTCTTATTATTACTGCACAGACCACCCCCAATGCAACAAAATTAAATTTTTTCGACGGAAATGCGCGTAGAACGACGTAAACAATCTCATACGCGCATTCACGCGTTAAAATTACCATTAATTTTACGTTTTTTTTACATACAAAAAATCTCCATACCTCTGCCAACTATGGAGCAGTCGAAATCATATTTATCAAAACAACACAGCGCCAGGAATGATCAGGGATAGTTAGTATGACTGAAAATACATGCTAAAGCAATAATAAGTCGTTATAAAGGAGTATTTTCTGTCTGAGCTGAGTCGACATTTTCAGACGTCTGACAGGCGATTTTGAAATCCACGCTATTTATACGATTCGCACTTTGCGTCACGGCTGGAAGGTTTTATCGCTTCTCTCATATCAGGGCATTACGTCAATAAACAGCTAAGAGCGATATTAACAGTAGGTTACCATGTGCTAGACTTAATAGCGTTGAGAATCCCATATGGACTAACGAGCGGCGAGAGAGAATTTAGTTGCTGTAATCAAAAATGAGTCTCGCAAATGAAGCTATCAGTACCTGTAAGCGGCAAGTGGTTGATTAATTTTAATAAAAATGAGGGTTTTCAAACACGTAAACCAGCTTAGAAGCGCCAACACATTAAAACACTCTCAAAATAAGTATAATTATTTTTGCAATAGCAACGTATAGTAAGGATTTTCCCGGGGTCAAGGGTCGGAGAAACTTTTTACGGGCCAGTTCAGTCTTTAGAGATCACCATCGCCTGCTATTGCCCACGAACGAATCAAGATTAGCATGTTTTCGTCCGTCTTGCGAATTAGGTCACTAAGGAGGTAGTGCCACATTATAAAATACTGTTACATTATAAATTAAAAATATAAAAGAGGCTTTTTCAGTAGTACGCGGCCAGAAAAAAAAAGTAAAGTGGTACGCCGTCAGTGAAAGGTTGCGAACCACTGGTGTAACGTATCGACCTTTCACCTCCAATTCCACTTCATTATTCACACTAAGCCATGGGGTAACGAGGTACTGTTTTTCAAAGAATGAATATGCTTAATTCTGTCTGTACAAGGTTTCATGCACGATGAAAGGAATATCTGATTCTCAGCTTCTACAAATATTGCTATTAGTTCAAAATACTCTCGACACTGGTTTCACAATCAATTGACATGATCACGTTGTCCAGTTAGTACACTGACCTCTATGTCGATTCTTTCCAATATTATATTGAAATTGATACCTGCTGCACCTCGTCAACCTTATATAAGAATATTTTACTATGCCATACCCGTGTGTTTATTCATTTCGCAGATTGTTACCTTAGGTTTGATGGAAATATGACGCGCATTCGCCACTTTGCAGTATGTGTCTTGAGCATAAAATGTTATTAAACTTAATTTGTTTGTTGGTGAATAATAATAACGAGGTCTTTAAATGTTTCACAGAATCGGAAATCAGATCTGAAATTCTCGCCCCGCACGATCTTATGTTACAATCTGACATATGTTTCGGAAATCATCAACTCCAACTGGTTGTTCATTGGGTATCGATTGAAGATGGATTACATCTGAACCCATTCATTTTAGAAATCCTGGCCTGAAATATTCGATAACTATGGCTGTAGTTTGGATTCTGGTATGTTATTGGTTTCATTCTCTTCAGGATAAATTGAAATGCTTAATAATAAAGTGCAACTAGGATAAGAGACAAATACATTACATGAATGATATTTCTGAATAAGGCTGAATTGTAATGTAATAACATTAGTCCTGTTTTTGTTTTATTTGTTATAAATGGCACCAAAAAGTTTAATGTGTTTAAAACATAATATTATTATCAGAGATCTTCTTTTATTTATTTTTTTCAAAAGTGTTAGATCATTTCAAAGCGTGATATTATGCATAATGTTATGTTTGAGCCACCAATAAGAGTGATCAATATCAGGTTCCCAGTAGAATATAGTCCAGAGGTCAGCAAAAGTGGAAAACGATAAGACAAAACCCAATTTGATCGCAATCCCAACAAATTCCTTGAGCTATTTTTTGCTAAAGACAGCAAAATTTGGTTTTAGTTTGATGTGACAGCAACAAGCGGGTCAGACTGAATTACCTAATGTGGCGTAGTTTGCCCATGTTTGAAATAGACAGTTTAGTGAAGGTAGCGCTTTCCAACCAGGGATGATTTCCTCCACAGGAAGAAATTCTGTCGTTCCTGGGGAGGATTTTTACTTTGTATTTGTTGTAGTATTAGTAATATTCAGACCCCCAGAAGTATGTGCACCATGATGTCGCACAACCTGAGTATAGTATCTGTACCTGGTTAGGGTTCAGGTTGTGCGCCATCTTGGTGCACATACTTCGGGAGCGCCTAATATTCTTTAGATCTTTATTATTATTATATTACTTATTTATGCAAACAATATTACAAATTATATTACAAACTACTTAAAACAGGGTACGTAGTATGTGTACCAGGTTAGGTCATAATCTTATTCCAATTTTTCCTATTTTAGTTCCAATACGAGTTCGGGAACTAGTCAAGTGACTTCCGTAGTATTTGTACCTGAAATTATGTCCTAACCCTAACCTGGTACACATACTACGTTCCGGTGTCCGCCATCTTGGTTTACATACTTCGCGAGCGCCTGAAAAAGGTTGTGTACGGCTTGCGCATAACACTAGCTAATGATTCATCAATAACGATTGAATAAATAGACTTTATACTTGGTGAAGGAGGAATTTCACAAAAACGGGTGGGAACCGCTGCATTAGAGCAGGATACTCAACAAGAGTCTTTCTTTAAAAGTCGAGGTTTCACAAATTGGTAGTTGTAATAACTCACATACTCAAGATCGAAAATAAATTTGATTTATACTGTTGAATACAGCACTTTAGCGCGGTTGTGGAATACATTTTCTGAAATGATTGACTGAACTGCCCAAGTACTTATTTTCTATTCCAAAAACGGCTTTTTCGAACTTTACTTACTTGTAACTTGTTTCTCTAGTACCGACTATTAAGGTATAAATAATATATTAAGTTTATAAATAATATAAAACTGTTATATTTTATTCGACATAACTAATTGATTTTAAATTAAAATGTTGGAATTTGCTTCATATGTTTAATATTGCAATGTTATTTGCACTAAGGCAAGAGAGCAAATTCCAAGGCCATTTATTCCCCATTCTGTGAATACGGAACCACAGTCTATTGAAATTCAATCGGGCATGGATTATACCCAGGCAATCCTAGGGCAAACAAAATCAGATCGAGGTACCTTCCATGCTACTTGTAATAATCGCAGTTAAACTTTGCCCAAACGAATACTCATTCGAAATCAAACGCGGTTTTAAGTTAAATCGAGGGAAGATGGCAGACTCGGACGACAGGTTATGTCGATGCAGTGTTTATTAAAGTTTATGTTTGCTCAGGCCGAAACACAAAATGTAAAACACTGCATTCTGCAGTCAACGATGCTTTACCCCAAATTAAAGTCATAAAATGAGTTGTTAAACTCAGCAGATGATGTTAACTTCGGTAGTGATATGGGAAATGTAAATATGTATCATTCAACCAGTTTCAGCAGCAATCAATCGATCTATTTTGTAAGCGAATTGCTACATCATGTTTACGTTGTACGTATGTATGTAATGTTTGGCCTACTTTTTCAATGTCACCCCCAATGGTTTCACTAGGCCCACTTAAAATCCCAGCAAGATAATGAGTGATTTATTAACGCTTTTACCACTAGGTTTTCGCGCCGCCTGAAAGTTGACGGAATAATGATTGAGAAAAAAGTACTCGTTGCTAAAAAATGAAGCACCATATAAAATGCCTGGCATCTGAATTACACTTAAATATCGTAAGTGGATACGCTTGTGCTGGTTCTCACTACAAAATGAGTTTGTTAGCATCTTTCATTCTTACGTTCCTATGCGTAGTTGGATATTGCGCTCAAGAACATCGAAGTAATATTAGCATTATGACAATGGGTCCAGAGATCGAACCTGGCTCGGGAAATTCCGATAACGACCTAAGCCTATCTAATGAAATTGACAATGTAACTTCAACAAAAATTGATCAGTACGATAGCTTGACTAAAAGAATCAAATCGCTGGAACAGAAAGAAAATGAGAGAGAAAAGGTAAAGAGCTGCTCGCCAATGTCATGTGAGTTCAAGAAAAAAATATCCTTTGTTTTTGTAGATGTTTCTTATTTCCCAAAATCGAAGATTAAAATATAGAATCGCAGCATAGATTCACGTCTTATTACTATGCAAATGATGTTACGAACCCAACAAATATAGCTTTTTTAGTTAATTGTCAAACTGCATTGAGCTAAAAATATTGGTATGATATTTATCGCGATATTTCGTTATTGCAATTTTTAATTTTGGGGCAGTTACTTTTGCTTATCGGGTTTTATGAAAATCGATTTTCATTTTTTTCAGTTGTCAACATCTGTGATTTGGCATCGTTAATTACGAAAAAAGCTCGAGAAGAAGCAACAAATGGTGAAACTTATTTTTTTAAATAATTACTTGTATGACTTGCAGTAGAGAGTGGATGTTTTTCTTATCATTGGCCACATATAAATTTTCCTATAATTTATCATTTAAACTTTCTGATGCAAATTTTTCCAAAATAGGCGCTAAAACTTTCTTACGTTTTGATTCAAATAATTTAATAATCTGCTGTGCAAAAGCATTGAATGTTGATTTAATCCATTCGCCTTTTCGTGACATAATCGGCATAAGAATTCCATAAGTACAATAAATTGAGTTGTTTGGTCATCTTTTTTATTTCATTCTCCAAATCTTTTAAATAACGTGACATTAAAAAGACATAAAAAAAAAATTCTAAAAAAAATTAAGAATATCAATTTCATCCATATATGCATTTTTAGGCTTTTTTCCAAATTAAAATAATTATCGTTTTTAGTTCCAAACGATTCTCAATGTCAAACAACATGTCGAACAGGCAAGAAAGGCCCTGAAGGTGCAAAAGGTGATATCTGATCACCAGGACAAAATGGCGCCACGGGACGTCAGGGAGCTACAGGAGAAAGTGGAACACCATGTAATTGCTCACGATATGATGAGTTGGCACACAAAGTTCAAATCCTCGAAAAAGGTTACTATCTCAAACTCAGGCCCTTATTATACTTTGTTACATTGTTTTATTCAAAAACCTTACGTTAATTGATTGTGTCTCAAGCGTTGCATATGGCAAAAAAAGATGATTCGCGAATATCTCTATGAATCTAAACTTCGATATAAAGCTTTGGCTTTTTAGATGAATTCCTCTTTTAAGTAATTATAAAGTTTTTTTTAAATAGTTCTATATTTGTTCTTAATTTAGTTTTAGCTCGAGAATTGCAACTGCTAGCAGATGGTTGGTATCGTGTTCACAGTTACCCATATTGGTACAAATTGGCCAATGTATCGTCGGACTATCAAACAGCCAGAAAAAACTGCGAACTCATGGGTGGCCGATTAGCAGCAAAGGGTATTCGCAACCCAACTATTCGCAGGTAATGAAACACTGTGTATTAAAAGGATTACAATTATTTAAACAGCAAAAACACTTTGACGATCGCATATATTCTATGGGAAAGCTGGTATGTTTTCCTCGTGAAGGGTTTGAAAGTTATGTAGTTCCATACTGCTTCCAACCTCAAGGTGATAAAAATTTAAAATCTATTATTCTAAAAGTTGCGCAAAAGCGATTTTTCACAACAAAAACTGTTAAATAAACTATATTTGATTTTAAATTTCCTTCAGTTCAAATTAACGATTGAATGATCAATCAAAACAAAACTGTGAATACCTCAATCTTTTATGTGAGTGTTCGAAATCTAATTCATTAGAAAGAATTTACGTTGAACTTTATTATTCGTATTTTTTAAATTATTTGATATTGCTGGTCCAAATTAAACATAATTTAATATAATTTTTAGCGATCTTCTCGACAAGTTCATCAGAAGAACAGGAACTTCAATCTGGATAGGACTTGACGACCTTGAGGAACAAGACAACTGGAAATGGTCGGACGGAGTCTCATCAACTTCTTCTAATACATTATGGAGTGAAGAAGAACCAAGTGGTCCGAATGAACGATGTGCTAGTATGCACAATCAACTGCAATATAAGATAGCAGATGAGAGTTGTAATTACAAAAAATTCTACCTTTGTGAGAAGTAATTGAAAAATTACCTTTTTCTTACTTTCAATCAATGGAAATAATTTCAACAAAACAAGAAACAATATTTATAGTCACTTAGCTAAAATATAGCTAGGACTATTCGATAATTGAGTAAATTAAATTTTTTTTCACAAAATTTTGCTTTCAACTTTTTCTTTGATCTATATATTCAATGTAAACTTGATTATTATCAACAACCTTTTCATTATAAAATCGTGTTTTCTGAGTATCGATCATATTAAATTGATTTTAATTGTTGAGTTTAAATAGTGAGTTTGAGCTCCAGAAGTATGTGCACTAAGATGGCGCACAACCTGAACATAGTATGTGTACCAGGTTAGGGTTCAGGTTTTGTGCCATCTTGGTGCACATACTTCGGGAGCGCCGTGCGTTTTTTGAAATAAGAGAATTTTCTAATTGATTACAATAAATGGAATCATTACCTGGTTTTGTCAATACTTAAAACTAAAACTTAGTGAGTTTTGAGTATTTTTGGAGTTATTAAACACAATAGAGAACTCAATATTATTCTCCGAGATTGATAGATCGAATGTTAAATTTTTTTCCCACAATTCAATTCGATTGATCAATTGGTTAGATGAATCATTTTTTTTATGTTCATCATGTTTACAAAGTCGAGCCCAGAAGCAGGGACCATTATTGGTGTCCAAAAAAATAACTTCTTTTTTTAATTTTAAACTAGGGTCCGAACTAAGTAAGATGAGTGATATATCGCCTTGACTCCTGTACTAAACCTTTAATGAACCGAGGCTCATCCAAACAGAGAACAAAATAGGACCTAAAGAAATAAGGTCGCCGCTACATTTCATCAAATAAATTAACACCACGAGACACGAAGATTACTACGACGCACTCTTTCAACACCGACGTCACCTTTTATTGTAACCACATGAGATTCTGGTGTCCTACAGTACGTATTATGATTATCATTCAAGTAACGTATCGACCTCTAACCCCCAGTTCCACTTTATTATTCAATATTTCATTTTATTCATATTATCACTGAACCATAGGGTACAGTAATATGGAATTGTTTGTCAAAGAATGAATATCTTGAAGCTTTTACAATTAATGTTGATAGTACAAAATACACTCGATATTTTACACAGGTTCACCACCCAATACAATCATCTAACCCAGTTATGCGCATGGGGCTCTCAAGAACCTTTCATGCGACTCTAATGCTTTAAAAATTAATTACTTTCAAAGAAAATTTTTCATTGGAGACTAATCACTGACTTTAAATTAAATTGCGGAAGTCTATTAGTTAGTCGAATGGATTCCCCCGTGTTTATTTGCGTAGCGTTGACTAATATACAAGATGCAATAGGACGAAACAGCAAGCGTTTTCGCGGCCACGTTGGCTTGCTCTCGTGGATTTTCAGTTTTTGTCGCATTTCCGAATATTATGTATAAATCAAATAACTCAGAGATTATTGTAATTGCTAGAGCATTTTAATTTTCTTCCAGTAATCGAAAATAGTCCCGAAATATCTGGCGATCATCTCAAGCAGCTACTGCACCTTGCATCCTCCACGATTACGATCAGCTTTGCCAAACTTATTAGAAATCAAAGCCAAATTAATAAATGGCTGTTAGTCTAGGGTGGGCAAAACCGAATCTTTTTTCGAATCGAATAATTTGAATATTTTTAGCGAATACCGAAGAGTCGAATAATGAATATTTTTTATACATAACAGAGATCCAGACGTCGGAGTTCGATACTCCATTTGGAAATTAATAGAAACATTAAAAAGTCGACAATAAAGCGTTTGTTACTGGTTAATGGTTTAATTCATCATAATCGCTGATTCTCTTTGTCACCGAGACCATTTCGGTTGCGATATCCTAAAGTTGGTATACTACATTCTCGTCCTTTCTCGTTTTTTGCAAGAATAAGGGGTCGCCGGATATCGAAGTTTCATATTTCTAGTATACCCTTGTGTTCACATCAGCGACAGCTGTTGAATACATTAAGGTCTGATTTCAAAACCAAATTAGTTTTATTCTGAGCTTCATCCTCTGCCTTGGTTTTAATGTTCCTTATCACCGCTTGTAAATTAACCGTGTCTGTTTAAAATGAACGGTAATCGAGATGCAGATATTTATTAAAATGATAATTGAGTTTCTCATGCTACTCTATAGTGTTCGTGGTATTTTACTATTAGATAGATAAACCTAGCAAATTTACGATTGCGTGAATCCTGAATGTTGATTTAAAATAGCGATGGAATAAATTAGCAAAGGCTTTTCTAGGCCTTTGTGTCTAATAGAGGCTCAAACGCTAATTATAGCTAATTCGTTCAAGTTTTAAATTTTTTTTGGCTCAACAAAACAACACCCCGATGGTTATTATAGCTAAAATACTTCTGAGAAATGCTCAATTTTCTTTACTGAATTTGCAAATTCAGCACTTTACTCAATGATTTTGATTATGTCATGCCTTAAGCTTAATTATTACTGCCCAAATGCTTCAAAATTTAACAATTGTAATCATTTTCGAATATAATAGACGCAACAATTCGTGAACGAGTCAGTGTGCATTGTTACAACGAAATTCACGATTGATTTTACGTTCTACTCTTGGCTCAACGGCCATGCATGGTCGAGTAAACTGTTTACATATTCGAAACATTACCTGGCCAAGGATGGAAGGGATCACTAAAGAGCTATTACAAGGTGCTTTAAAGGGAGTAGGACATGACATTTCTTATCTGGTTACAACTTAATGATTGTTTTTCATACAAGTAACTCATATCAGATTTTGGAAAACTTTCTGTCATTTTTAAATTCATGCTATTCTTATAACTAGAGTTTTCTTACGACCTAAAATCGCCCTTTTGACAATGAAACGCCGAAAAGTCATTTTAACAACTTAATCAACAATTTAATCAACTTTATGTTCGGTAATGCAAGAAATGACTAATGACATGTCACCAAGCATGCGGAGTTTAAAATCTGAGAAATTTATTTCAAATACCTAATCTGGTTTGACGTTTCTAAATTTACGGAACGGTCGGTACGTTTTTTTGCAAACAATGGAATTGAAACGATACGTTAAGTGCAAATATAAGCATATAACACCATAACGGCATAACCCAAAGACAACGACTTTTCAAATTTGTCTCTTTTTTCTGATAGCCAGCGCCCTTGGGAAATTTCGCACTGTTCACGATTTACTTGGACACGCGAGGATTCGGTGTCCAAGCAGAGCGGCGTAGGTCACGTGGTATCGGATATTCTAATAGTAAAATGCAATTCGAATATTTTATTATTCGAATATTTTGTCCAGCCTAGTTGTTACGTGTGTTGTTGTTACGATGACTTGGTATTTTAAGTACGCGCTTAATGGTTTGTTGCTATTTTACCTTGCGTTGTTTGTGTGCGGCTCTTCATACCTTTGAGGTTTGAAAAGCGGCTCTGGAACTAAAAAAGTTTGAGAACCACTGAATTCTAACCTGTGTTTGACCGTTCGTTTCAGCACAATGATATCTGAATTCTTTCCATTATTACCATCGTCGTGCGTTTAATTGAATGTATAATATCTATACTCTAGATCAGGGTTGTGCAAACTGCGGCCCGCGGGCCAAATGCGGCCCGCAAAGAAAAATTGTGCGGACCGTGGGGAAGTGCCAATTTAAATTAACCTAGAATTAACAGATATCACTACACGCATTTTTTGAGTTTTCTATTTTCTATCAATATTTTGACGAGAATAATTTTGGTAAGTTGGATTTTTCGTAGGTAGAGTTTCTAGGTGCGGCCTGCGGCTTCACCCAGTTACTTGTATTTGACCTTTCTGTAATAAAGGTTGCACACCCCTGCTCTAGATTGTTAACTTAGGTTTGTTAAAAAAATGGCGCACATTCGCCGCTTTGAGATATGTGTATTGAGTATAATAATATTGGAAATTTTATACAATTCACAGGTTCCAAGGATAGGTTTATCATAATTAAACCTCGTTAATGAACTTCATATTTTGATAATACGTCTCTAATAATAATAATAAGTCTCTAATGGAGTTTATTTTATTATAAATATATTAGTCTCGCAATTCGAACAATTAATCAGGTGCGCACTGGCTCGGTCGATCATTGCATCATTGTTTCATCGGACTCTTTATAAAATGACAACCAAAATTCAACAATCTGTCTGTTCTATGTCACAATAGACCTGGTAGAAATATGTAACCACCAACATGGATGACACGTTTACAGATATGAACCATTACGAAAACGCGAAGAAACTCAATGAATTTTAAATAACTGTTTGAATTTCTGGATATTGATAATTTTGATTTTATTGCCTGCTCCCACTTCTAAAAATACTAGAATAATTATATACTTCAAATCAACCTCATTACCACATCTCCCTCATGCCACCCTCGGCATTTGTGGTATGAGAATAATAAGCAGAAACGTCTACATTCAGATGAGAATGCCCATGGGGTTACTGTGCAAGATATACGCGATTTTCAGATAACCTCGACGCTAGCAATTCGTCACTCAATTATACACATTTGCACCGCCTAGTTATTTTGCATTTTCAATGGGGATAAATTTGTGTTCAATAGTGGTCCATCACGCCTTTTTGTTAGTTAGTAAATAGGTTGCCAAATACTTGTAAGACAATTCCATGATACTAAAGGTCGGGAAAGAGCAAATCCTAAACCTTAGATGAAACCTAAATGTTGAACCAAAAATAATATTGTCATGGAAACAATTGCTGTAATACGTACGCAAGAGCGTGCAAACATTAGTTTAAACAACTTAACATGTAACTGCTTGAAGTTAATG